GTTCTTTCTCAATTTTTTCCAAGGCATCCATCATCATAGCTTCAGCACCGAGCTCGTCCTTGAGACCCTGCCTGCACAAAGAAGGATATTAGCAAAGATGCAAATTAACAAAAGCACATTGCATGCAAGATGAAGATATCTGAAATCTACTAGGAAAAATGGCAAGGTATACAAAGATCACAATGAAATATGAAAGAAGTGAAAAGGCAATGGTTGATCAACAGAACAACTGCGGATCACTCTAGCCAAGCTTTTAGATAACAAAGCTCAAGAATATAATGGAAGGAGCTGGAAACTGTAACAAAAAATAAATTGTAAGAATTGAAGAGTGCATCAACACCACGATGAAGAAAGGAGAAAATATAGCAAATGACATTTTAAAACTACATAGATGGAAGGTTAATGGGTCCATACATAATTCTCATGTCCTGCAATTTCAACAAGTAACCACGAGCATCTGGGATATCCTTTGTCTCTGACTCAATGGCATTCTTGATAGTTTGAGATTCAGTCCACAAATCAGTCCTGCAAGAGACACAAGTATCAACAGATGAAATATGAATATAGACAGTGCTGATATAAGGTGCCTGAAACAGGAAAACCAAAGCTTACTTCTCTCTGATGGTCTTCATAACCTTCGCATATTGAGAAACAGCAGCTGGATCTTCAGGTGCAATGGTTATCTTCTCCTTCCGAAGAATTCCCATTGCAGTCTCAAACTTTTTCTTCACATCCAGAAAGATGTTCTTCAGCATCACTTTCCGATAAAAGGAAAACACAAAAAGTCTATGTCAAAACAAGTACTGAGAAGATAAAATAAAACATAGTAAATATACACCAATTGTCAGCACCTATAGCTCCCATTTTCAGCAACATATACTAAGAATTTGTCTATAATCTCGCATATAGGTGAAGGATAATGCAAAGAACAGAATAGAACAACATATTGGGAGTGCTACCAGATCTAGCCATTCCCTGGATGAATTAATCATATGAGTTACGCCTGAGTAAGTTATGCAGTTCTTGAATGCCTAGCGTATTTTGTACAAAATAGATTCCTATCTCAGGGAATGGCTCGCAACCGCAATAGCAACTCGGCAGAAGGGAATCATAATCTGAATTTCCACACATTGGCCATAGTTCCATCCAAAAGAGTAAAGCTTTGAACTTTGACTATTCTAGAAAACAGCTTAAGACAATGGTGCTAGCACTTTGTACTAGTTTGTAGATTGATTCAGGTGGCTCCACAAAGACTGGTAAAATCTCAGCAAAGAAATACCACTATGACAAGCATACTAACCATCTCCCTTCAGTTCCGGCTCAGACTTAGCCGAAAAGTAACGAGCTGGAATGGCAGACTCATGTAGAACAACCTGACTAGCATAGAGCTGCATATTTCCAAAATCAAGAAAGAAAGAAATCAGCAATAAAGTACAACCAATAGCCAGCGAAATGTGGGAAAAAATAGAATGAAAGAAGAAGAAAAAATACCCAGAAACTGAGGTATACATCCAGACAAAATGCCTCAATACCATCATAGAGAGACACAATCTCGCATTCATGCCCACGGTGTTTAATCACAAATCTTAAACTTCCAGCACAATCCCATTATTCATTTCCCCCAAAAATCAAGGACAAGTCACTAACTTTCATCGCCACTCGGGTTCATACACTCTCAATTACACGATCCCAACTAAATTCCTGGAGACCCTAATATAAGACAAAAACGGCAAAACCTACGAATCGATACGAACCGGCCAACCAGAGCAATCCTCCAACGATCAGCCAAACGCCGCAAATGCCCGGCTAATCGTAGAACTCGAAGGAAAGAAAAACCCCCCACGCGACGATTTCGAAGGCCAGGAAACAAAGGGTAAATTGATCGTAGCCAAATGATTATCAGATAACATCCGGGATTCGAAACGCGGGAAGTGAAGAAGGCGAAGAGGAAATTTACCTGTCTGGATCTGGACAAGAGACGGGAAGCCATTGATGACTAGGGCAGAGCTCAGTTTCTTTCTTCTTCTGCTTCCGAGAAGGGATTTTTAGCTGCGAGGGGGGAGGTGCTAATCTGAGCTTCAGTCTCTGCTTTGTATATTGAACGAAGAAAAGGTTATGTTCTGTGTTTCCTCTTAGGTTTGCGTTTTATTCTGCGCCGTTGGATTTCCCGGGTCATCCATGATCATTCATACCCGCCCCCGTGATTTTAATCGACGGTCAGTATTCTCCTGCGATTTTTTAGTTTTCTATCCTTCTTTTTTTCTAAATTTTAGGGCCCGTAATGGCAATGGGCAGGTCCGGGGCGGGTTTCACGATACCCATACCCGTTTTGTGGCAGGTCGGGTTCAGGTCGGGTAATTTATCGTGAGTCACGGATCAAGGCAGGACGACCCAGTGGGCATGCAATTTATATAAAAAACATTGGAAATATTCACTAATTTCATTATAAAACCAAGAAAACAAATCATATTATGATAAATGTAGTTAAATTATTGGAGAAATTGAGATTTTCACTTATTTACAACTCTATCATAACTAAAATATGATGTAATAAAAGGAAAATCCTAAGTAATTTGACTAAGATTACATATAGTTTTAGCAAAAACGGGTCAAGAATGGGGCAGGTCGGGTCGATGAGAGTACCCATGCCCGCCTCGCCCCACCTACAGGGCGGGTCGAACCCCCCCCCCCCCCCAAACAGACCAAACGGGTCCGGTAAAACAGGTCAGATCGAAATTGTCATCTCTACTCCTAAGTTGACTATAGTTAAATACATGTATTGTGTTGACCGATGAATTTGATTCATTGTAAAATACAATATTTGATATTGTGTGATCAGGTATGTCACGTAAACTAAAGTCGAGATATAACACTATTCACTCAACTATCTCTATCAACAGTTGAGATATAACAATAGCTCAGGTTGAATGATAGTTTCTGTAACATCAGAATTAGCGATTTTTATGTGAACTTCATCGAGCATAACCTCAACCCCAACACAAACTAGCATATTGGTGAAAAGTTCTACCACAGAACGGTTCTACGGCATACACGACGTAACAAAAACTTATACAATTTTACTACACTTCATGCAATTATATTATGATTCAACTCAACAGCAAAAAGAAAAAATTCAAATGACTTATATAAACGAAGAGCAACATCTTTCGAGACTTACATACTTCTATAACGTGACGGTTTATGAACACTTATCGATGAACGTATGTGCATCACCTGCGAAAAGTGACTGACGCATAATATAATTTTCTAGTTTCGAATATGATTATGCTCACCAGAACACACAAAAAAATTCTGGGTTCTTGGATTATAATGTCTGACTAACACGACATTGAGAAAATCCATCAAGAACACACTTGAATTGGGATCATAATGTACAATTCGTCCAAAAAAGATTTATCCCCTTTCCCTATTCGATTTTACAGATCACACAGCAAACAGGTTACAACAATGGAAGAACCAAAAACAAAAAAAGACCCTTTTAATTTAACCATAGTTAAACTCATCTATGTCATTGAAGAAATCCTGAAAAATGGTCATGTCGCTCATCAGATCGGCCAAATCCGGGATCGGCCCGGGGATGTCGAAATCCGCCAGGCACTGGAAAACCAGGACGCCGCCGATGTTCGGATCTCCCCGGCCGTCATCGTCGAACGGCCGATAGAAGCCGGCGGAGGAGGAAGAAGACGAGCACGGGGTCTGGGTCGGGGTCGATTTCCCGACGGGGCTTCCGGCGAGGGCGTCGGAGGCGCTCCTGGCCCGCTTGTTGTGCCATCGCGGTATGATCAGGCGCCGCCGGCCTCCCTTCTGCGGTGGCGGCGGCCGACGGCGAACGGCTGATCCCTCCTCGTCCCCGGCCCTGGAAATCGCGGCGGATTTCGACGACGATCGACGCTTCTTGCCGATGACTGCGTTGATCCCGGCGGGATCGTCGGGCTTGGGATGCTTCCGCGGCCGCCCTCGACCGCGACGTGGGGCGACGATCGGATTCTCGATCATTGGCGGATCTGGGTCCGGCGGAATTGTATTGATCCGGCCAAGATTCGGATTTTGTTTGTTTTATAAAAAAAAAGGGGAATTCCTTTTGTTTCTTTTCGTTTTAGGGTTTATGGTGAAATTATTTTAATGTTACAGATTTGAAAGGGTTGAAATTGGGGTTAGAGTTTGTTTATTTGGGAAGGGAAAATTTTGATTTGTTGTGTTTGCTTTTTAGATTGGATATTATGTAGTAATCTACCAAGTTTAGGATTCTATTTACAACGATTAGTTGGATTAATTCCAGCTGTGATGGCAATCCACTCGAGACACAATTAAGGTATGGCTTTTAAACGTGTTGATTACGTTGGAGAGCGCGTAATAAATTGTAAAAATTTTTTGTGTAATGTGGAATTTGAGCGTACGTGGCACTTCTGATAAATACGATGAATCGAAAGTAGAGTAATTTTACATGATGATAATGTGTTCCTGTCCACAAGGTTTGTGTAAGATTGATAATGTGCTCATGTGGTTATGTCAAAAAGGTAATTTCCGAGTATTGTGGATTAACTACACGTTAAAAGATACAAATTTTGTTTTTTTTTTCTCTTCCCATAAATGAATATCAATGGCAAACGATAGCACATACAATATTCATGATGCTGAAGCTAAATGGTTAAAAATAGGTCGTTATATAAATGTTAAAAGAACCTTGCTCACCATCAAATGACGACATAGTTAACATAAATGTGGATGTCACAATCACATAAGCACCAAGTAGGAAGCATAGCATAATTAAAGTGACAAGGACATATAACATAGACGTCTATCGTAATCTACTCGAACATGATCATTAAAGTTGAGAAATCAATACTCGATGAATCCATGAAGAGGCAAGAGACAACATGAAGAACGGAAACATCTTAGTAACCAAAAGAAAAGAAAGCAAAATGATTCCTATCAAGTTTTTTTTTTTTCTTATCACACCTTTTTCAGAACACATTTCAACATCTTAAGACTTATGATTGTTGATCTCATATTTAACTCGAGATGATTAGATTTTACATACCACAGTTTTGTCAAATTGTTCATACCCCATATATATCAGTAGTCTCAAACTTCAAAGTTTCGGGTAGAGAAAAACATATGGAAGTGACAAAGTAATTCCATGTGTTCTTTTTTTACAGGCATCACTTGTTTGACAAGAGTAAAAGCTTCAAACAACACAGTGAGGCCACTGATATACGTTTACACCATTTGCAAGAAAGACAATTACTTTTACAGCTAGAGAGCTACAGCTAACATTTGTCTACACAGTAAATATTCAACTTTGTGAATCACAATGAACCTTCTGCAGCTTCATCACATCTACGCTGCAAAAGATTTACCACAGCCACACGTCTGCGTCGCATTAGGGTTCTTGAAAGAGAAGCCACCCCCGATGAGGGCGTCACTGTAATCCAACTGCATCCCGAATATGAATAGGAGACTCTTTGGATCGCAAACTGCACCAAACACACCAAGAAAAGGAAATAGATTAGCTCAGGATGCCAGTTTTGGAATTTCATGCTACATTTAAGAAGAGTGGACACCAAGTAACCAATGCAACACCAGCTCTAGGTCATGTACAAGTTAGCATCTATACATGGTCCAACGCCTTGCAACGAGCCATTACATAGGAATTCGATGGCCCTGCAATGGAACTGATTGCCCCTGAAGTTGATCTCATCATAAATGCAACGATGAAGCAATCATGAATTCATGATATACAAGAGCAGGAGAGAGGAGAGACAGACATGCTGTTTCATGTGATTTGGTGCCACACTGATACGTGATAACTAAGGAGTTGGCAATGTCTTTTGCTTTCATTGCAAATCTAACTTGCAGCTAGCCTCTTAAGTCTCAACAAACAATAGGGTTTGACAAAAGTACTATGTACAAGGAAACATATGTCTATGCACAAAAATGGTTTTATATCTCTACCATCCATTTATTCAAGCAAGTCTATTGACAAGAAAATCAGTAACCGACTTCTACATCTCGGTCCAAAGTTTAAACTTTTACCAATGCAAACGCCCCCAAAGGTTTGGCCTAGCACAGTAATCTGAGGCTATCATATACCCAGCAAACAAACGGCGTCATAACCATATCTATTTTAAAGAAAAGAAAGGAGACAATAATTGAATCAAATCAACACATAAAAGGAGCCCTATCATATATATTATCTACACCCCTTCATCTTTCAGCGATTCTGGAAACTCCAGAGCTCGAAAAGAAACACTCCAAAATATCTCAGCTACCTTAAGATTTGAGCAGCGAAGTTCATTCACACACTGAAAGGACAACCAAAGAGTGATCTTGGAAGATCAAACCCTAGCTAGCAATGGCAGACTAGACTATCCTACATCAAATTCTACACTTTCCAGCCAAACAAATCAATTGTCTTCTCACCTTGTATTTCCTAACACCTCCAAATTCTCCCCCAATTCAGTGACTAAAGCAAACTACAAGACGCAATAGAGAGAATCTAAAAAATTAACATTACCGATAACGAAGCCGTCGTATTCCATCACGGAATCGTCGGGTCTAGCGTTGCCCCGATTCTCAAACTCCATCGTGTAAGACATCCCCGAGCACCCGCCCTGCTTCACTCCGATTCTCAAGCACAAATCCTCATTTCGGTCGCTCCTCATTCGATTCAGGTGCTTCAACGCACCCTCCGTCACCGACACCGCCGGAGCCACTCCCCCGGGAGACGGCGGAGCGACTGCTGCGAGAAAAAAAGGGGGCAAAATACAATATATATGTTCAGAAACGAAATTCCACCATCCTTTTTCAAATCTCGTTAAATCGGGGAGAGAAGGAAGGGATTGGAGGAGTAACCAGGGACGGAAGATGATCTGACGGAGAGAAACGATCGACGGGAGAGATTGGGCGGGGTGGAGAATCTGAAGGAGACTGAACTCGGAGGCGAAGAGAAGGCCGCCGGTGAGCGATTGGGAAGACGGAGGATCGATGGAGGGGACTGGCGTGCTGTGGTTGTTGAAGGAGAGAAAGCCGCCGTCGCCATGGCCGAGAAACGATTGAGAGCCTTGCAGAGGTTTTCTTCCAATTTGCTTCCGCGTTTACAAGTCGCCTATTATTTTCGGTTTCTTGCGGAAATAAAGGAGTTTTTGTGATTCATAAATTATAACCAGAATAAATTATTTGTATTAAATTTCATTTAAGAAAATATAAAAATATTGTGGGCCGGTCTTAAGACACTAGTTAATATGGGCTTCATATCGGGCTTAAAACACTTGTCCATCGGTGGGTTAGGCTTCCTCCCGGTGGGCTAGGTTAGAGTTGTTCATAACTTGAAGCTTTTTTTTTTGCATTTTTTTATTCATAACTTGAATCAATTACTGGTCATTTGGAAAATTGGATTGAATCTTTATATCGTAAACAATCAAATATTTTAATTCTTGGATTGTTAAAAAAAATTAAAATGTTTAATAATTGTGATTGTTGATTCTATGAATCCGTTCTTCAAATCTGGTTCGAAACGACCCCTTAATAGAGTGAATTGAATATCTTCGTGTCTAGATAAAACTTAATAGTTGAGTGAATAAAAAACATGCAGGTTATATACTGATAGAATGAGTTAAATTGAAAAGGGATGTGCGCTTAACAAATGGGGGTCCTCGAAATTCAAACACAAAGGGGATCAAAGATGCAAGCACGATCCCCGACGATCCCGTTTCCATGATGAAAAGATACACGATGGAGGTCAACTTATCTAGGTAGACAAGTCGGTTATTTCAAAATCCTAAAACACATGATAACAACAGAAGTGATTGGAAAGAGAAGAAATGAAGCTGTGAACAGTTTGAAAGAGATTATTGAATGCAGAGCCTCGCTGGCGCCTAATCAACAAGGTCCTTTTCTGTTCAAACAATTACAAACAGAGAGGCTCACATGTCCTCTTCCTCTTTATTTCACCTTATCACTACTTTGTTTCTGTCGGCAAAAGAGGTGCAAAAACTGAATTTTACTCCTATTTCTTTATATGAATAACGAAAAAGCGCCCCACGCATTTGGGTTTATAATTGCACCGATTATCTTACACGTTAGATTGAGTTTACTATAGTGTAGCTACACATTTGTTCTACATGACCTATTTAATACTCCTTTCTTGCTTTCAAATTTATCATCCAAATGGGCATTATGCATTTAGTTTCAGATTTGTTGTTCAAGTGGGCATAAGTATTTCCCCCCTTTTATGGATGCAATTCGTAACATGTTCTAACTACACCATGTGTATTGCTTTGTTGAACACAAAACATCGAAGTTGTTTTGCCTCGAGACAAGTCAACGTTAGGATAACTCGAAGACAAGACATATTGCAATTTGCAACAATGAAGACTTGGTATTGAGATGGTTATTGTTATTGTTGCAAATTGAGAATGTTAAATTGATTATTAATACCATAAAATTTTAAAAGATATTATGATAACGATATGTTAAAAGATATTATGATAACGATATGTTTGTTTCAATAATTTAAACTATTGAAAGAGTTCCAAAAGCATGAAAAGGTTTAAAATTCAACATTAACACTAAACCATTGGTATCTACATCATTACACCTAGGCTTCCACATCATAATTATTATTCAACTGCACCTTATTCAAATGCAAGAGAAGTAGTGGTAGAAGGAGGGAGAAGAGAAAGATACCCATTTGGAGATAAAAACATAAGATGATAAGAAGAATCAATAGCTTGGAGTTGGAATTGGGGAGGACAGGAAAAGAAGCAATAAATGGAATACCCACTTTGAAAAAGACTCTTCCCTTTTAATTAATTGTTCTTCTCTCTATTGTATAAACCCAAACATTATATTCTCCCATCCTCTCTCTCCATCTTCTTAGCTTCTCCTATTCCTTTCTTGTCTTTCTATACACAGAGCTTCTTCTTCTGCAGCTCTCTTGTGGAAAATTTCCATTCCATGAACATCATTGATCATACCACAACACAAGCCACAAACTTCTGTTGTCTTCCTAGTTAGTCCCTTAAGTTATACAAACTCTCTTTTCCATCCCAAATTGAGTTGGTTTCTATTCTGTTCCCAGCCAATTTAATGGAAGTTTCCAGCAGAAGGAGGGCTCTGCTCAAAGTCATCGTCCTTGGGGATAGTGGGTATGTCTCTGTTTTGAATTTACTCCATATCTATATTCAACTGTTCTTCATCTCTGGTTTTGACATTCACCAATAATCCAACTTGAAACCAAAAGAAAGTTTGAACCTTTCCATATGGGTTTGCATTCTTCTGTAGATTTGATTGATGGGTTTGGTTTCTTTCTTTGTGATTGTTTCTTGTTTTAGGGTGGGGAAGACATCCTTAATGAATCGGTATCCACTCGTAATTATTTATCGTAATACTATATGCTTCGGTTAATTATATTAACATAAGAAAATACATATGAGAACTTTTAATTAATGGGGTTAGATTAGCTTTCTGAGATATATATAAATTTGATCACCTTAGTTATATGCTATATCATGTTTTCATCTCGTCTTGTACCATTCAAAATGGGGCATTGTTATGTCTGGAGAAAATGAGGCACATTATTGGGCCATCTGGCTCCAATTATTTTTCCTCATATGCTGCTGGCTGGTGATGGATCACATTCACATGGCTTCTATGAGTTGTCATAAGCTTAAGGTGTTTGCTTGTATTTATCCATTGCTTGTATTTATCCATTAAGTGTCTAGTTGGTGCCTTAGAAATTAATGCTTCAAAGTTCAAAGTCAATGGAACTAGTTATGAGATTCCAAATCCTAACTTTCTCCCTAAAACTTACCTTAAGTCGCATGACCTCTTCGATATCTTCAACCAGTATAGTATCGTACGAAGAAGTTAATGAATGTTACGTGTTCCTTTACAAACCAACTAAGATATGTGTACAAGAAGTTCAACCAACAATACAAAGCGACAATCGGTGCTGATTTTGTGACGAAAGAGCTTCAAGTAGATGACAAAGATGTCACTTTACAAGTGAGTAACATTCCTATACAAATATTTTTCATCTCGCGAGTACACTTTTTTTTTGTGTAACCCGAATTAGCTCTGGATGTAAAGATATGGGACACAGCTGGGCAAGAGAGGTTTCAGAGCCTTGGATCAGCGTTTTACAGAGGATCGGATTGTTGTGTTCTTGTGTACGACGTTAATGTGCTTAAATCGTTCGAAACACTGACTAACTGGCATGATGAGTTCTTGAAACAGGTAGGTTTTGGTGTTATGTTTGTTTAGCTCTAATCTAGCATGGTGATGGATTGGTGGGTTGGGTTTATTTTGATCTAAAAGTGATTTATATTGCATGTGTTATTCTCAGGTAGATCCAGTACATCCAGATGTATTCCCTTTTGTGCTACTTGGGAATAAGATTGACATTGATGGTGGAAACAGCAGAGTGGTGAGTATATATATATAGCTTGGAAATTAAGCTGACAAATAGAAGATTCATTTGCCCCCCCTTTTTGTGGATAGTTACATAAATGGTCATTGAAGTTTGGTGTCCTTTAACAATCGGTTACAAACATTTATTTTTGTAACATCATGATGTGAAAACAATTACAGGTTTCAGAAAAGAAAGCAAGAGAATGGTGCAGTAGTAAGGGAGACATTCCATACTTCGAGACATCAGCCAAAGAGGATTACTATGTAGATGATGCCTTCCAATCCGTAGCCAAAGTTGCCCTTCAAACCGACAACCAACACGACATGTAAGCAACTTTAATTCGAGAATAGATACTATACAAAATACCGAAATTGGCGCAAATATAAATTTGAAACATTTGATCCTGCTTGAATTAAGGATTTAGTGTAATGTTGGCTCATGGTATGTCTCACTAATTCTTACATTAAATGCAATAGAGAAGTTGAGTGATGTATTAGATCAGCAAAGAAAAATTCTCAACTCGAAAAATTAGTTTCAACAGTGAGAAAACTCAACAAGAAGTATATTGTATTTCTATTTTTCTTTTGCAGGCTTAATTAATCATATATCTCTAAATGACCAATTTACTTGAGTTTTGAACTTTAGATGGGTTTCACATTTATTGCCCTAATTGCTCACATATCACAATGGTTGCTAATTAAATTTTTGACGATGGGCAGTTACTACCAAGACATATCAGAAGCTGTTTCCGAAGTTGATCAAAGAGGGAGTTGTGCATGTTGAAGAGTAGCAAAACAAAGACTTTGTCTCGCATCTATAACGTTCGACAAATATATGAGCATCTAAGATTAGATGAAAGCATGATTCAAACTACGTGAGTGTGAGATCAACCATTTGAGTCTCCTACGTACCAAATTTCATTTCTAGCGGTTATATGACTATTTGGAGCTAATTTTTTTCCCACTCTCTTTCTCTTCATTGATTCTATTCATTAGTGAGCCTATACTTCATTGGTGCCGTTGGGTATAATTTAGGTGTACATCAGAATTCATTTACTTATGGTAGCAAGAGATTACTCTTGTTATATGGTGGTGAAGTTTTGTGACTCAAATCTTCAAAAAAATTATAATTAACTATAAACACATTTGTATTATGCCGATTAACAAAATTTGTCACAAATTATGTCGAAGTTTTGCATCATTCGAGTATTGGTTCTAGAGAAGTTTTGCAGGTCCTGCAGAGATAAAACCAAAAGTGATCATTTTTCAGTAAGATCAAGTTTCAAACTGAAAAAAAAAAGATTCATTTTTTTTTTTCCAATCCGATTTTATATAAATATTGATTTGGTAATTATTTCGTCCAGCTTTGCCCACCCCTACTTGTGGATATCCACTCCCGGGCTTTCAGACTCGTTGGGCTCACAGTAAAGTATCACAAATTCCAGTGGACAAAGTACTGTAATCCCAAAGCCCAATCTCAGTACTCCATACGAAAGAAAGCCCACATCAATTCAACTTCAATGATGGACTATTCTCTCCACCATCCCGCTCTGGGAAGAGCATAGAACTAGGGCGGACTATTTGGTCCCGGACTGTTTGGTTTTACTCGAAATCAGACAGTATAATTTGGACCGGGATCGGATAGCAAACAATGCAATCTCATATTTGAGTTTAGATTTGAGGTAAAAAACTAGATAAAGATCGGGTAAGAGACCCCCAACACCTAAAATCAAGATAAAATTGTTACCGGATCAAGACCGGACTGTATTCAATCCAATCTTTGGTCCTTATATTCCCGAAAAAGCTCATAACAATGCATATTATTCAAATTGGCAAGATAATCTAATACAAAGTTATTTTCACTCATGATACATTTAAATGAACATCTTACTAACAAGACAACATATACCGAACAACAAACACGTAAAAGTAAGCGAGTTGTGCGTATTTTAATTACTGAATTAACGATAATACGACGACGAAACAATCGATCTACATTGAACCTCATTCTCTCAAACCAATATTAAATCATATAAAACCCCATTTCAAAATTCAACTCTCATGATGGACTATTCCTCTCCTAGTCCTACCCATTATACACTCTCTCCACGAACAGGACCTTTCAAGTTTCAATTCCTAGCAATGCATATTATTCAAATTATATTAGAAAACGTGGAATTAATACCTTTCCTTTCTCCCCAAGAAGAAGCTTCTCTTTGCTTTCCCACCGGGGTGAATCTAGAAAATTGGAGACTGAGACTGAGAGATAGAGAGTATCAATTTTCCTCCACGGCAATCAATCAAGGGAATTGTTCATAGGTTCGTGGAACCTTCTTCCCTTTGCTATTGCTATCTCTCTAAGGCTGCGAATCCGTTGTTCCCAGTAACTCTAGTTTGTTGAGAAAGGTTTAGTCATGGATTTTATACCATTTGCTAACACATCTCCTCTCAAACGAAAGCCAGCTCATACGAGGGTGAAATTTGCACAGCGAGCAACTTCGCGGTCCTCTCCTTTCAGTCGACCAACTACCATGTGCTTAACAAATGAGAGTTGTCAGTGATTCGTACACAATACCTATCGACCAACGAAGACTCCGATACCATGTCATTCTCAAATAACTCGAATTGTTGGAAGATGTTTTAATCAATGATCTTTTACTGTTCACTTAACACCCCCCCCCCCCCTCAAACGAGAGCCCACCAACTCTTATGGGCTTGAAACTTGCACGGGTCAAGATACCATGTATTTAAATACAAATGAAGGTCATCGCGATTCGAACATAGTTGTCGAAAACTCTAGTAAGTAGTACCATACCAAGAACCAGAACCAGTTAATTTCAATAACTCGAGTTTTGGAAGATGTTAGAATTAAGGCAGTCTTGTCAATATGCTTTAAATGATATCACTTGATCTCCAATGGCTAATGAAATCAGAACACCTTTTTCTTTTGACCAACCCATTAATGTAGGTTCTCTCCCACAACTTAATCCAATTAACTATCAGCTGCTTGGGGTTGTAGGTAATGATTGGATTATTACTGTTTGAACCTAACTGAGTGTAGGAGTGAGGTTCGAATGAGAGTTTGGGTCAAGAAGAAACGCGAGCGTCAAGTTCGATCGGGGAGAGAGGAATTAGAGAGTTGAGCGAGGACCGGAGTCCAAACTTTTAGAAAGAGAAGTAATTGTTATAGAGAGAGAATGGTGAAAAATGCGATCCCCTCACCCACCGTAGTAAATGCCGTATTTATAGGCTTCGTTGTGGTGGGTGAGTGGTTGACCCAAGTGGGGATACAAGATGTGACAATTGGGATACAATGATGTGACCACTGGTACATGCTAAGGATTTTAGACCCTGTCCAGGCCATCACCCTACCTAGGACGTGTCAGAGATTTGCCACTGGCCTTGATGTGACCACTTCCTGGGGAGGAAAGCTACGCCTCCCTCCTCTCTTGGCTTTGCCTGCGCTACGCTCTTCCTCGGCGCCTGTAACTCACATCGCGCACAAACTCTTCGCGCCAGGACGTAGTTGACTACGATGAGGTGTCGCGCTCGGGGTCTTCGCGCTGCTATGTCGGAGTCCATCCAGTTGCGTCCGTTCCTTGACGCGGCCAGGCCCGAGTCACACGCCCAACAATTGCCCCCCATCAGGGGGTGTTTTGCGAACACCTCCTGTTTGGATTTTTTCCTGAATGACTCGGGCCTGTGTGGTCTCCGTGATGCTGGTTTTTTTGGGTCTATTCCGCTCGTCGCGATCGGTTGGCTCCCGCGCATGCTCGCGTTTAGGTTTTTCGTCGCGCGCGATGTGTGGGGCGATTATGGGTACTCCGCGCGCTCGCGCGTTCCGCTCGCGCGTCGCGTGATACCCGGTACCGCGCGAAGCATGTTCTTCTTTCCTCGCGGGTATATCTTGCCCCCCAGGCGATGCGTGGGGCGATTATGGGTACTCCGCGCGCTCGCGCGTCGCGAGATACCCGGTACTGGGCGAAGCATGTTTTTCTTTCCTCGCGGGTATATCTTGCCCCCCAGGCGGTGCGCGGCACTCGTGGCGTCGCCGACTAGTGCCTATGTTGGTAGGTATCCACGTGTCATTGTGTGGTTAGGCTGTTTGGGCGGGGATTTTTGAATTTCGAAAAGATTTGGTAGGATCTGACGGTTACGGATCCCTATGTTGCTTTAACCCTTCGCCTTCCGCTGGCCGACATTGGCCCCTTGCATTCCCATTGGCCCTTTATTTTCCCTCCGACCCACTATAAGAATGGGTTGTTGTGAGAAGTAAGGACTCATCTGTCTCCTCTGATTACTGTTTCCCTCTGCTTTCATTGAGATTTGCTTCCTCTGAGATTTTTTCTCCTCCTTCTGCAACCTCGATCCTTCTCAGCTGTTGCCAAGTTTCGAGTCGACATCATGTCCGGCGTCAACAACAACAACGAGGCCGAGGTCGTGCAAGGCGAAGAAGGTAATTTCTCCCCTCTCTCGCACACTTCTTCTGACCGTTCCGGTGACGGGGACGGTGGTTCTGGGGGTTGGGACGACGGGTCTGACGGCGGACGTGGCGGTGGCGACGGTGGGATTCCGGCGACGCCGTCATACGATGCCAGGTCCGGCGACGGTGTCGGAAGCTCCTCCGACGTGGGTGAAATTCCCTCCGGCAGTGGGGAAGCCATGCAGCAGGCTCGGGGAGTGATGATCATCCGGCGTAATCTGGGTGGTCGACCGGTAGGGGCCGATGAAGTCATCGACGATGAGGTCACCGACGATGAAGTCGTCGATGATGAGGCCGCGGATGAGATGGCGCAAGGAGATATTGATGCGCAATTCGCGCCGCGCGCCATTGAGCGCGTTTCCGAAGCATTTGCCCGTCTGGGGGCGCAAGGCGTCGGCGCGACCTACCGTGTGATCGAGTGGGCCGAGATGTGGGGCGATCAGCCGGCGCCCTCGGACAACCTTAAGCGCGGACCCGAGCACTCCTCAACATACGACGTGGACGACGTGGAGGAGTTGGTCCGCGGGCTGGGCTTGCCCCCCCATTGGGAGTACGCTGCCCCGTCGGTGCGCAGCATGGTGGGCAACTGCCCCCCTGGTTGGTTCGGCGTGTACACGGAATACTGGGTGATGGGGTTCAAGTTCCCCATCGATCCGTTGCTGTGCGCGATCTATGAGCGCCTCAAGTGTTCCGTCGGGCGGCTCTCTCCTTCAGTCATCATGCACGCGAGCTGCCTCCGTCTCGCGTGCAAAAGGCTCAATATCGAGCCTACGTATGGCTTGTTCAGGAAGATGTACAAAATCAAGGAGCCCACCAGGGTGAGCGACTGTCTCTCCATCCAGCGGCGCGACCACCGCCCCGAAGGTTTTGTGTATGGCTCGCCCAAGCTGAAGAAAACCTGGTTCGAGGAATTCTTCTATGTTAAGCCTACCCCCGGGCAATGGGCCAGCGGGACCATGGCGGAGCCCACCTCCTGGGAGAAGGGCAGTACGCATGGGTTCGAGTCGGATGTCGGGTTCTACGCCGGGCTGAACGACGAATATGAGGCTTGCATGCCTCATCGCATCAATTTGTACGCCAAGGGAGTCCGCGAGGCCTGCTTGGAGGAGCTGTTTGGGGATGGTTAGTTATATTTTCTTTCCTTTGTATTCTATCTTATTAACCGCTCTCTTACGACTTATTGGCGCAGGTGTTGATTTCTCCAACATTGCCAGTATGATGTCGGTGGATGACGTCGCGCCCCGCGCTGACAAGAAGAAGAAGAAGAAGAATGTCGCGGCGCCTAAAGCTCCGAAGCGGAAGGATATCGAGCAGCCGGCCGCGCAGACTGTCGAGAGGCCGCGCAAGACGATTCGCATCGTGGAGCCGACTGCTCTGGCGGTGAAGCAGACGCCTGCCGCGCAGCAGCTGACTGCCGCGCAGCAGCTGTCCTTGGCATTGTCGCAGCCGGAGGCGACGGTGACCAGGCCCGCTCGTCGGGATGGGAGCGGAGCGAGCAGCTCCTCCGGGGCAACCACCACTGCTGCCCCCGCTAGCGCTACTCCCACTACCGCCGCCGTCCACCAAGTTCGTGACGTGCGGATTCATACGGCGGCGGCGTGCAACCTGGTCTCCGCCAATCATGCGCTCCGGGCAATCGGGCCCGTTCTCACTGTTCCTCCGCGTGTGAAGGAGACAGACCCCCTCCATGATCTGGCGCAGATCCACTTCGCGGTAAGCTCTAGTTAGATCCCCGTAGTTTAGGTTTTACCTTCTTCTCTTCTCTTCCGTTTTCCTTTTTATTGCCATCGCATTTGGCTAAGGCTCGTGGCATTGTAGGGTCTGTCGGCGACATTCCGAGCTCAGCAAGAGCGCGCCGCGATGCGCGCAAAGATGAAGGCTGACGAGGCGCAGATCGTCCAGCTGGAGGGGAAGGTGCTGGGGGCAAACAACCGTGCTGACGACGCGACATCCAAAGCCAATGAGGCGTTGGAGTCGCTCGGCCTCTTGCAGAGCCGGTTGGCCGCGGATGTGGAAGCGGCCAAAGAGAAGGTGCGAAACGAAGAACGCTCCGCCCTCCGGGAAGAATTGGAAGCCTCCTTCTCTGAGAAGTTGCGCAAGGCTCGCGAGGACTTCCAGAAGGAGAAGGACGACCTGGTCCGCCTTCATACCGTCGCGAAGGCTGAGGCCGTTCGCGCAGCCGAGGTCGCGGCTATCCGCCAGTTCAAGTCTTCCCAACCTTTCGGGAAGATCATGGCGGATGCCATGACCAAGGCCGTGATAGCGGTCGGCAAGAAGGTTCGCCCCGAGAATCCAGGGATGCAGTGGGATACTCGCGACATGGTTCAGCACGTCAAGTCCTGGATCAGCGGAAGCGTCCTTTGGATTCTGACTCCGAATCCGAGGAAGAGGAGGAGGAAGAGGAGGAGGAAGAGGGGGAGCGCCGGGAGGAGGTAGATCGTCCGGCCGGGGAGGAGGTTACAGGCGCCCGGAGGGATGGCGAGGTGGCCGATGAAGACGAGGATGAGGAAGAGGAGAGCCCCTTGGTGCGTCGCAAGTCAAGTAAGGAGGACGAGCAGCCCAACGCTGGATCTGCCTAAGTGTCGCCCAGTTTTTCCTTAGCTGTTGTCATTGTTTTGTCCATGTGTAATTGCGAACAAAATGACTGCTTCTTCTATGATTATGCCAAGTGACCCTCGATTGTGATTGCCCCTTTCTCTCTTTGCTCTTTAACTATTTGCTTGACAATTTTGCGTGGGGGGATGGGCATTTGTTTCGTTTTCTTGCGCGGAGGGTGCGCGGACTGGGTGAGCGCGGATAGTGTTGGGTTATCGTTAGCTCTTCGCTCTTTCGGACTAGGCGCGCATAGTACTGGACTATTGCTAATTTTTTGCTCTTTCGAACCATGCCGTTTTGCGCGAATAGTGCTGGACTATTGCTAATTTTTGTTCTTTCGAACCATGTCCTTTTGCGCGAATAGTGCTGGACTATTGCTAATTTTTGTTCTTTCGAACCATGTCCTTTTGCGCGAATAGTGCTGGACTATTGCTAATTTTTGTTCTTTCGAACCATGTCCTTTTGCGCGAATAGTGCTGGACTATTGCTAATTTTTGTTCTTTCGAACCATGTCCTTTTGCGCGAATAGTGCTGGACTATTGCTAATTTTTGTTCTTTCGAACCATGTCCTTTTGCGCGAATAGTGCTGGACTATTGCTAATTTTTGTTCTTTCGAACCATGTCCTTTTGCGCGAATAGTGCTGGACTATTGCTAATTTTTGTTCTTTCGAACCATGTCCTTTTGCGCGAATAGTGCTGGACTATTGCTAATTTTTGTTCTTTCGAACCATGTCCTTTTATTTATCGCGCTAATGCGCTGTTACAAACGTGGTACACGTTAATCGGCACGATGGTACTTCCTTAGATTCTGTGCGTTCCATGTTCTTGGAATCTTGTTGCCCCCCAATTCGCTGAGTTTGAATGTGTTGGCGCCCACCACTTCGCGGATTAAGTAAGGACCTTCCCACGTCGAGGCGAGCTTCCCGTGCCTGGGGTCGGGGCGGAAGTTCCGTCGCAATACTTTGTCGCCCAGGGTCAACTTGTGGGGGA